TTTACTTGCTGGTTTATTATGTATGCTTATAAGACGATGTGTCATTTCGGCAATCAGCACAGAAAGGAATAGCCAGAATGGCACTGCAAGCCAGAACACCTGGATCACGCCAAATTTTAATCGAATAAACAGCAGCACTTCAAAAATAACTTTGAAAACCAGCAATGCTGAAATTATTATTGTAAGCCTTCCAGAGTGTTTGCTCAGGAAATCTTAATGAAAAAAGAAATCATAAAGCTAAATACAAATTTATCAAGAAACAGAGTGTATCCACGCCGTTGCAAACTACCTATTTTTAAGACAAGCGGAAGACAATAACGATAGAAAAAAATCAGTCTTAAGCCAAAGTTAGTAATTGGTGCAAAACATTTAAAAGAGGATTCAAAATTCAAGAAAAAATAAAGCTAATAATGGAAACTGCAGTACAGCGGTAAAAAAGACAAAAACATCTATTTGACCGAGCCAAGCCAAGCCAGATTTGCATGACTTTCTTTTACGGAAAGTGAATGAGTGGGTCATATCACGATGGTTATTCTCTGAGATTTTTTAAATTGTCTAATAATTAAAAAAACCTAGTAGAAAGCGTAGCGGCTGCCGGTACGAGGATGTGTTTTTTGCGCAGTTCCCCCTGCAGGTTTTTTCGCCAGTGGCACATTCTTCCTGGCAGATGCTTTTAGCTAAAAGAATTGCGAATGGCCACTACAACTGTTAGAAATTATTGCAATGACTCCCAATCCATGCCCAGAAGATTCAGTGCTCTAGATGCTTCGGTTGCACAGTTATGTCAAATTTTACGTGTCCGTACGTGAGTGGCTACGTGAATGCTTTCTTTGCTTACAGTTGCTCAAACACGGTCCGGGTAGCGCTCAAAAAATTCCAGCACTCCAGCCGCTCTGGTTGCGGAATCGCCCACGGTTGTTCAAACACGGTCCTGGGTGATGCTCAGAAAATTTTAGCACTCCAGCTGCTCTAGTTGCGGAGTTGCGTCAAATTTCACGTGTGTACACGTGTTCGTACGTGAGATGCAGAAGAGCTGAAAAGTAATTTACTTTCACGAACACAGCAGTGGGCAACAAGTGATGCTTCAAAATTGCATCTCTCTGTAGCTTATTGATCACCTTAAATTTGGAGTTGGCATGATGCCAATTTAAACTTTGACGTGTGCGTACGTAAGTCCTGAGGGTGCGTGAAGGCTGAATTTGAAATCTTTGGATTAGACACGGCCAAGGAACAACTATGTGAAGTC